GACCGATACGGGCATATTTAAAATGTCTTGCTTTATTAATTTAATTGTCTTCAGTTTAACCTGCGGTTGCGTCGACAAGATAAAATCTTCACCACTCTTATATACCATTGCAATCCGCGGTCATAGAAATAAAAACGTGTGGTAAACTGCCCGATTAAATAATGTTTTGATCCGTATATTGCAAATTCGGCAAATATTTAGATGTACTTGTTAACAGTGACTCCGCTCAATCGAAATGCTGCCACTCTGATTATTTTTAGATAAAACCGTTCGAAAAATCCATAAATATGCTGTAACATCTCAAAGTAAAATTTATTTCATCACAATAAAATTGATTGAATATACTTTAGATTAATTATATTATATACATCCTCACAACCCGGGAAAAAGTCGTGTTTCAAACCTTGTATTGAGTTAACACGAAAATATTAGAGGCAATTTAAAGTAATGGATAATCTGTTTCTAAACGCCGACCAAACATAATGTGTGCTAGAGGCACACGAAATTTTGCGATTTTCACTGCCTAGAAAGGCGTTTTTTAAATTTTCGCGGGCCTCAATAAAACTTATATTGTTTACGGTTTTGTTTTCAGTATTTTAAATTGCCGCTTTTCAATCAAAAAGTTGCGTTGTCTTAAAAAACTCGCCGCCGATGAACGTATTTACCAGATTCACAATTCCATGCGCGTACAAAAATAAAATAATTGTCATCGTTATCGCGGAACGAATTTGTGGAAAATTTTCGTTTTAGAGAAAATAACACAAAAGTAAAGGCGTTCACGGCCTAAACAACACGTTACGCTGATGAGTGATGAAAACAATCCCGCGCAAGTTTCTATCGAGAATGTTTTCATTCAACGGAAATGTGTTGAAAGCGGCGTCGAAAATGTGTGACGTCACACAAATATCCGATATTCTTATGAACGCTAATTCCGATATTCGAATGACGAGATATTCGAATACATTCGAATTGGCCATCCCTGATCATGACACTAGCTTAATCGCCTTGAAGCTTTAGCATGTGCTACACCACAACAAGCCTCATGAGCCATGAGCCTCTTAGACAAGAACAAGGGACCATTTTTGACAAACACAGATATAAACTATTCTTTCATACTTACCATATATCCTCGCATATAAGCCGATCCCCTAAAAACACCCTTAATAATTATTAATTTATAAAAATTCGCATATAAGCCAACACTACAAATCGCAGAAGGCCATACGCACCTATCACAACCAGGGATGTTCAATTTGACTTTAATATTCAATATGGCTATTTGCTACCTTCAGAATATCGTTTTTAGTGGAAATTGATATCGCGCACACATCCTCGCCCTCCGTCCACGTTTTGATTGAAAACATTTTTCGATTATGACTAATTTCAATAAGTAAACAAATAGCTCGTGGAGCCCCTAGGTTTCCCATTCAGAGCCATGGGCACTTTGAGAACCTATGTTCTAGTGTACATATTTATCGGGTGGTTTCACGCCTTTTTTGCAAACATGACTCTAGCTCAGGGGTGGGTAAGGCTTTTAAACCAGGGGCCAAAAATTTTACTTACCGAGACTGGCGGGCCAAGTAAGTGTGACTTCCATTTTATGAACAATGTTTGCAGTGTTACAAACGCAAAATTGGAAAACAATAAGCCTCGTGCCAAAACTAAATTTATTTTGAACAATTCCTTGAGCTATTTTTTAGCTAAAACATCAAAATTTGGTTTATGTTTGGTTGTGGCAGCATCAGGCTGGCCAGATTGAATTACCCAATGGGCTGTAGTTTTCCTATGCCATCTCTAGCTAATCAGTCACGCTTATATAGGAGCAGCTATTATGTTGTTGCAAAGTTCATTCTGGTTTGAGATATGACTTATCTATCTATAAGATATCCTGGGGTTAAGTGGGTGTGAGTTGTTACCCGAGTCCCAGTGTTCACTTCAAGAAAATTATGAGTGTGTGCGTTTCTCACAAGCCAGAAATTGAAAAAGTCAAAACTTTCCTAACTGTTTTACTAACATTATATTAAAAAATCTTGCATGCTGCAAAGTTTCTGATTTTATTGTTCGAAAGACACGCAACTCCGGTTTCTGGTGTTCACTCTAAAAAAATTATCAGTAGCAAGAAAAAACTGAAATTCTGTTTTCTGATTTAATTTAATAAAAAAACTTTGGTTACTTATGAGTGCGTGCTTTCCTCATAAGCCAAAAAGAAAGTGCAAACATCTTGTTTTTCTGGTGTTCACTCTAAAAAAATTCTGTTTCCTGGTTTATATTAAAAAAAAACTTTGGTTTCTGATGTTCACTCTAAGAAAATTGGGAGTACGTGCTTTCCTCACAAGCCAAAAAATAAACTGCAATTTTCCGGTTTAATCCAGAAGTTAAATAAATACACAGTGCAAGAAAATTAAGAGTGTGTATGTGCATTGCAAGCCAAGAAATAAACTGAAATTTTGATCAAATTTAAGAAAACTCTTGTTTCTGGTGTTCACTCTGAGAAAATTATGAGTCTGTGTTTCATGTGTTTGCTCTGAGAAAATTTAAAGCACAAGAATAAACTAATATTCTGGTTGAACTTGAACATTGCATAAGTGCCTAGGCGGTTTCCAAGTTAGGTATCTTTTTTGGCGCTCTAGAAGAATGTGTACCAATATGGAGGTAACTAATTTCGGGTTCTGGTATAGTTTAGTACCACATCCACTTCTAGTTGGCCTGGCTCAATAATTTTTGCATATGTCAATCCTAAACCCCACCTGACTACGTCACCGAAAAATTACGTCATTCCGACGTCACAGTGGCATATTAAGGCCCACCGAAGTATGTGGATGGTCGTCCAAAACGCGTAGACGATCACCCGAAATCGAGCAAGCTATTTCTCTCGTTTTCTCGTTGCAACGATCACGATAGGAGAGAGATCGCCGGCTTTAGCAAGTTCGTTATCGGCGGCACAGATGCCATTTCGGGCGATCGTAATTATACTTTGACAATCCCTATGACGTGATGTTCTTAGTGACATAATTTTGGGATATCATAATCAGGTGAGGGTTAGGAATAACATATGCAAAAAGCGTTGTGCTACGCCCACTGTACTTGTGGTACTAAACTATACTAGACCCTGATTTTGTTCGCCTACTTTACATCAAGTTGTGTAAAGGGACTGAAGCCTATGGGCAGGGGTATATTTGCTTGGCTAACACAGACATTCCCTGAACTCGTAATAGAACCAAAAAAAGGAAAATCTGAATAAAATTATGGCCTAACCCTAACCTGGTACACACACTTTTTGTTATAACTTATTTTAAACAGCATACGTGTTCTATTATTTATACTTCTCTCATACCTTTGCTCTATGATATCGGGGCTATCATTAATTCCTGAAAATTAAGGTCTAGAAATGGTATTACTTTATTAGCAGATGTCATAAGATTAGTTTATCCTGGCTGATGGTTCCCGCCACTTAATTTCCTAACAGGACTGAGCGCAAACAAAATCTGTCACTATTATCACCGGATTTCATATCCAGCCTGAATGCATAAGATCTATTTAACCTGAATTTGCCACATTTGTGTAACCTTTTTTTCTACATGTCACAAAACCATTGTAAAAATATGACTGCTGACTGAATGATATATTTTACTCAAATTGTATATTTTTCCATTTTTTTTTTGGCACAGACATTTCGGTGTGAGTAGTTTTGTTCTAGAAATTTGAACAAAAAGTATATCTTTGCTTTCCATTTCGACCGATCAAAATTCCCTAAAATTTTATGCTATATGCTTATTAAATTGGTTGCCCTAGAGCCATGACAATCGATCAGAAATGACGTAACGTCCCGAACAAGATCTTACGACATAAATATATACAGTTCGTTCCAATCAAAGCTCTGCACAGGCAGACACTGTTATTTAAGAAGTTATTTAAGAGGACACTGTTATTTAAGTTACTTTATTTTGAAAAGCTCGGATTATATACTTGCGCATTGCTCTCTTGTCGAATGGTAAAGAGGCAGCTGAGATGCGCGGTTCGAATGATGTCATCTCACGGTACTCCCGTAGTATGTAAACCAAGATGGTGGACAACGGAACGTAGTATGTGTACCAGGTTAGGGTTAGGCCATAATTTCAGTTACAAATACTACGGAAGTCACTTGGTTAGTCACCGAGTTCGTAATAGAACTGGAATAAAATTATGGCCTAACCCTAACTTGGTACACATACTGCGTCTGCCATCTTGGTTCACATATTACTGGATCGCCCATCTCACTCGTCGGCACGCTTGGGTGTTCGAGCGCCGCCACAGTTTTGAATTTTTTAGGTCAACCACTGAGGTATCACTGTTGTTGTATAGTCAGAATTGGCGACGGTGATATCGCTTATCTCTATGATCATGTATGTACACATACTTATTCCCTACTTATCAGAGCTGGGTCCATGTAGCCACAGTGTTTTTATGTAGATGGAGGTGGGAAATGAAGCTGAAGCCTGTGCTACCAGAAAATTAGTGGCTCCAACTTTTAACCATCTAATTCTTTTTCCAGACTTATAATTTTTTCATACCTCATACAAATAACTTCATACAAATAGAATCTGTAGGCATCCTATAATTTATTCAATTTTGATTTTCTTGTATGAAATTGAAGTTTCAATTTTACAATCTAAAAGTCCCTATAACACAGATTTAGCTCTCGCATAACTGTATCTGAATTAATGTGTCATGTAGTGCTCATACCAAAAAACAGCAGACCAGCAGATGAGTAAACCAGCAGACCTTGAGTCACATTTGATATATTCTAGCTTCGGAATTAGAGATAGAACCATAGTGATTTCAAACCAGCTTTCCAGTCCTGTATTAAAACCTAAAAATTCACACAATGGTTTCTTGTGTGGAATAGAAAACACATTTAGTGCCATGCTGATTTAAAATTTAATTTTGCAGAAGCAGAAAGGAAACTCGAGATCATTGTGATTTCATGATCATAGCTGGCTCTGAAGAAATCCCAGTTCATAAGAATATTATATCTGTAGGATCTGATTATTTCAAAGCAATGCTGGCTCATAATGTAAGTTGTGTTTATACTTGGTTATGTGTTTTCTCAGCCATAAACTGTTTCGGTTAGCTAATTCTTTCACAGTTGGTACTGTTACCCTTGTTAATGTGGTTTTAATCGTTGGTATCATCATACTTCAGAATGCTGAGACAGCGTCTGGTAAAGTGGAAATGAAGGAAGTTGATCCATTATCCCTGCAACAATGCATAGAATATATTTACACTGGTGAATTATCTACTACTGATGAAAATGCTGAATCTTTGATGTTTGTGGCTGAATTACTACAGTTGAAAGGTGATGATATAAAATAGATCTTTCTTTCAGATTGTACCGAGGTTCACTCAACACCTCGTGATTCAAATCAATTAGACAATCTCCCACAAATGGATCTATTTGGTGTACATGGGCCTGAATTTCTATTGTTATTCTGGCTAGTTTTTTACTGAACAGAAAACCTGTTGTTTTTCTTATCTTATTCAGCTTGTTAATTAATCTGCCATATCATTATTTCCTACTTTCATTCCAAGTTCAACATGGTGACCCGAGGCAAACAGAATTTATGAATCACCTTCACGAAAATGAGGAAAATTCAATTAATAATTGCACTTTGCTTGGGTATGATTGCACCCAAAAGTTTTGGTGATCTAAGATGCTTTGCGCAAAAGTTATGATTCAAATGACCTGAGTTCTGTTTTTTTTGGCCACCTTGTAATCATTCCTCTACATTGCAAGGAAAGGTTCCGAAATAACTAAAAAAAGCCAAAAGCTCTGGGGGCGAATCAAAATAGATGTTTGATTGTTCATTGATAAATGTTTGAATATATATATAACTTCATGTATGTTTTTTTTTAAACAGATGTCTGTGAAAGCATCGTTGATTCACTCGAAGAAAATCTCGAATCGTCTTCGGAATCATTCTTTGTGACAAAAAGAATCGCAAATCTGTACAATTACAAAGAATTGATGGAAAAATGCGAGAAGTTCATGCTGGATAAATTTGAAGAAATTGCAGTACTTGATGAGTTCAAGGAAATAGAGGAAAAGGGATTTGTTGGATTGATCAAGTCACAAGAAAACAAGGTATTTGCAGTGTTTTGTTTCAATCCTTCATTTTGAAAAGACTTTACAAGTAGTCACTCATTTGGACAAGGTTTTAGATTCTCAAGGTTTTAGATTCTTTTCATGATACAAGCAGCCACTCAACCTTCTGACTTGGTGGAACGCACTGCTTTACTGTATAGCAGGGGGCCAACACGTTAATCGTCACGTAAAGAACTTGCTGGCTTGGTAGAACGCACTGTTTTACGGTATAGCAGGGGGTTGCCAACACGTCGATCGCCACATCTCGAGTAGTCGATTGCGTCTGATGTTGTGTGAATTTAATGACATGCCCCCAAAAGTTACCGCTCATCAGTTTCATGTAGCGCCTGTTATGTTTCTTATAACAGTAATATATATGGTACTGCACATGCGCAAAATACAGTGGCGCAACCAGCGGGGGGGGTCACGGGGGTCGTGTCCCCCCCGTTTGAAATTCATTTTTTTATTATTGTTCTACGTTCAAACAACGTCGTTCTGCGGTCATAACAATCCGGTGAAAACTACGGTACTTTTTTCCAGTGCTTTATCACCCCGACGTAATTTAACATCGCCCGACTTCAATCATACCTTTTTGCTGTTAGTTACGTAATAATCGCTATCCCCGCGTATATAATTGTATTTGAAAATGAGATATGTTACCTCAAAAAAGTAGAAATCGTGCGCTGTCGATGCGAATTAAAAGCGACAATAGCATAATGCTATCTCTCTCTCTCTTGTGACGAATACTCTCGTGCTTCATCATCTTGACGCAATGTAACGCCGCCCGTCTTCATGTTATAATAATGCAGTAGAAACTAAATTATTTTCGGAAAAATATTGCTTCGATTAACCTAACCTACATATGAAAGGCCAAAAACCGAAAACGCCGTACACATCCTACCGCCCCCGTCCACGTTCTGATTTAAAAACATTTCACAATTATTTCATTTTTTATCGCAATCGAAAGAAGCCATGTGTGGCACGGCAATAACTAACAGTCGTCGTGGAAGGTTTTCAATAAACTCCGACGTTTTTGGTTGACGAAATCCGCGATACATAATAAATACTATTTATTAAGAGCTATTTTATACGCGCTAAATTACGAGAAATGAAAAAATTTCCTGTTATGTTCGGTCACTATTGAAACTGAGGATGAAAACAACTAATTAGGACACAATTTACCGAGGTCGCCTAAACCATCTCGACTAAGTTAAAATACACGATAAGAAAATATTTTCAATCAAAAACGTCCTCGAAGTCTTATAAGTTCTTCAAGTCGGCGTTTATCGAAATTCTTTCATGTCTGCTGTAACCTATTGCGGAACAACACATGGACGACGACGCTAGGATATGTGCGCCATATTATTCGGGATTATTATAAACACTAAAAAACAGTATTTGAAGTTTGCGATATTTGAATTTAAATTCGATTTGGACATCCCTGCATTAAATTAGTCAGTTTTTAGTTGTGTTTCCAAAAATTAGTTGTAAATCAATTATTTTAATTTTCATTATGCCTTCCGGTGAGCTTCAGTTTAGTTTAGAATTTTTCTGGGGTCAGGGTCGGGAAAAGGATTCCATTCGCAAGAAGTGCATTTTGTTTTTAGTCTTGACGAATTCACCCAACGAGCAAGGCGCGGCACGAGGGAAACACTGGAATTTATTTAAGCCGTGTTTCACTATCCACGAGGCGCAAAGCGAGGGAAACGCTGAAAATAATTAACAGCCTTTCATTAGCAATTCGCTGGAATGTAATGAAAGGCGTTTTGCTACCCACGAGGTGCAAGACATAGCGAAACGCCTGTATTGAACGAGGGCAAGGTAAGCGAAAGGCTGGGATTTAATCGATGACGTTTCCCTTTTAACCACGAGCAATTTATCGTGTTTCAGCGGGGAGACACCTAGTGGCGTTGCGACTTAAGTAGTGGTTGCATTGTGTAAATTCCGGTCGGACCCCCCCCCCCGTTGAAAACTGCCTGGTTGCGCCACTGGCAAAATACAGTACATTTTACATCCATGGTATTTGAGTCTGGGCAAGCCTAATAGAGCATATTATTTTGCAACAAATGCAAGTTTCGCCGCTGCCAAGGTTTAGAAATGAACGTGGCAATTACTTATATTTGGCGTGGCATATACATTTTTTGCATATGCCATTCCTGACAGTCACCTGGCTCCTTCATCCAAATTCTTATGTTACTACGACCTCACAATCACGCCAAACAGCTTGCCAGAATACGACCGCCTGAAATGGCATCTTCGCCAACCATCACGAACTCACTAACGCCAGCAATTTTTCTCATATTGGAAACAGTGCGACGAGAAAACAAAAGAGAAATACTATGCTCGATTTTAGGTGATCGTGTGCGCGTCTTGGATGAGAGTTAGTCTAATTCAGGGGGCCTTATTACGTTGCTTTGATGTCATAGCGACGTAATTTTTCAATGACATAATTTGTTGGGGTCTTGGAATAACATATGCAAAAATGGTTGTGCCACGCCAGCTAGAAATACTTAATTTGTGTTATGAACATAGCCCAACTATTATATATTGAATATTTTCGATGTTCTGTATTCTTTCTAGGCATCAGAGAGTGTGAAGCTGAAGGCTTTGATATCTTGGATAAAACATGAGCAAAGAAATCGCAAAAAACTTCTGAAGAAATTGAACAACTACATTGATTTGCATAAAGTACCGGCGACTTATAGAAGATTCCTTGTTGAAAACGAGGTTGGTTATTTTTGAATTGATATTTTTAAACCTTTTATTTTTGCATCTTGCAATCTTTCATGTAACCTTTGGCTTTGAATAGATTATTAAGAATTATCTTACAAAAGACCAGGGCTCATACTTTGCAAGTTTTAATATTGCAACTTATTTTTAAATTACCAAAAGTCCAAGTCCGAGTCAACATTTAAATTTTTTCAGAGTTGGAATTCCAGTCTTGAAAAAGTCTCTCCTTGTGCCAAAATTGTGTGGCCAAATCTTGCATTTCTCGGAGATTGAATGTTTGAATTTCCCTTAACCGAGTAAACTATTCCTAGATTCAAGATCTATTTTCTTTTCTCATATCATTTAATATTCATTGGATGACATAACGCCTTTTTGTTATTTCAGCCAATGGTAAGGTCATGCCCTGAATGCTCTCACACTATATTCATATCTGTGATGGACAGCTTAGACATTTGCGCTTCAGATGTTCAACCTGCTGAGAATATAAAACAAGAAGGAAAAGAAGCAAGTGAGTTTGAATTAAGATGTGAAATTACAGAACACCATTTGTCATCTGAAATTTACTGATTTGGGGATTGGCTCTGGTTTGAACAATGTTATTTTTGCTTTTCCTTTCTGATACAAAGTTTATTTTGTACAGTTGCTGTGTTTGATGAAAACTCAAAGAGCCTTCAATGCTTTAATCCTCAGAATAATTCTTGGAAAAAAATGCAGGTTTGTATTCGACAACCTTCATCTCGGGTATATTTGTGTAATCTTACTGTACGAATTTTTTTACATTAGTCTTCATTATTACTCCGCCGGTAAAAAGTAATGCTAGAAGCTTTTGTTTTTCTGCGATTGGATTGCAAGATGTGGTTGGGATAGTTCCGCTTTGACATGTAGTATTGATGTGCTACATATTTTATTTTAACGAGAGACTGTGTTTCGCCATTTCAACGCATTTCGATTTTACTCTTTCAGGATAAATTTAAACTCAGCTACCTGGCTTGTACTACTTAACTTTGGTATTTAATTGAAGAATGTAATATATGATTTACATATTTATCCCTTGGGGGGGGGGGGGATCCAATAAGACGGCTTAATCTAATGGCCAACCACGCCATTAGTTAGTTTACCAATTCAAGCCGGGTGCGAGATTAGTTTTTTGCAAGCATTGACCCGGTGGTGGAGGAAGCCGTAACCGACGAGCGGTTACGTGAACCACCCTACGGCGACGATGAGCCCAGTAGAGAGAGAGAGATTTTTTATCATAAACAATGTCAACACTATAATACAGGGTGGTCCTGTGAACACATTTCGTGCGACCCGCTGAACAATTTGAGGTATTTTTAAACTATTCCAACTGGGGAAATTTCTGGAATGATGTTTATTAAAATCACAGAATTTTAATGTAACTATAAACGTGGAGACGGTTCCAATATGGGAATGACGACCTTTGATCCGTACAAGGACGATAAATTGTCTTGTGCAGACAGGACCAAACCGATTAGATGAGCCGTGCTTTTTATCAAATCTTCGTACCTTATGCTCGCGTCAAGTAACATTTGGAGAGGTGCTCTGTGTCTTTATTTTAGTAAAATCACTCTTCTATTTTCAAGTGTTGGCCAAGATACCAAAAATACCATGGCATTTCTCAGGAAGCAATTTCAAAATAGCCGAAGGCTTTATATATCTTTCTTAAAAAAATTGATTAGAACGGTGAACTCTAATTCTTGAATATATTTAAACTAAAGTGAGTAAACTTGCGATATTTTTATCACTTTTGAGTTTTCTCCGACTGCGGACCACCAGACACTCTTAAAAGTTTTTGCGACCCTCCAACTTCCCAACCTTGGACCACCCTGCTGTAATACAATTAAGCAACACAAAGTAAAATATAATTTAACCATAAATGATTGGTTGATCATTATTCGTGAGGGTCAGTATGCAAGACAAGAGTTAGGTCACCGAGGCTCCTGGCCCTTGCTGTATATAAGTGATTAATCAGATATAGCATCAGCAATGAAGAATCCTCTCGCACATAATCATCTCGACATGGAGTTCGAGCCTGCGATGTGCTACACAAGGACAAAGACTTTTTAGGACGAATAATTGAGCGGGATTAGATTCTCTCATCCCTCCACACCCAGTAATCTATATCTGCATTTGAGCAAACATTTTCTACATTTGACAACGATTTCTTCAATACAATATTGTTCATTGAAATTTTCCAGAACATGCCTGGATCAGGAACTGACTTTTCTGCTGTGGCTCTTGGTGACTACATTTATGTTCTCATGATTGATCGATCTGTTCATCGACTGAAATACTCAGATCATGAAGCTACTTGGGAGAGAATGAATGATATGATGCATGACCATGGGCAGTATCCTCCTATTACTGTTTTGTCTGGTAAGAATTGCTTCAAAAATCTTTTGCTAAACATTATCTTGGACTAGTAATTGAGTTTTTCAAATAGCTTGTTGCTGTCTGTTTGGAGTGAAGTTATCTCAAGAATTCTTAGTACTGGTCTGTTTAAGAATTTAATGAAAAACATATTTTAATAGTATTTGGTATCCTATTCCAGTTAAGCCTTGTATTGTAACTATATAACTTCATTGTGGGTGACTCAAAATTCTTCTGAGCGCTTTGTGCACAAAATACTGATAATTTTATTCTGATTTGTAAAACTTGTCACTTGATCAAAGTGTAAAAATACAAATTATATTTTCATATTAACACCATTGAAGAATTATAACACAATCTATCTTTGTAAGAAATAGTAGTTGCTTCGTAAGATCATATATTTGAGTTCAGGCAAAACCAGGGTAAATGCCAAGACAAATATTGCCAAAATAATTAGGATTGAGTTACCTTGCTAAAACATGCAAATCCGAAAAGACCTGAGTTTATTATACAATGCACTAACACTCCTGTTTTAAGATCAGTAGTTTATTTGTGTTTGTATATATCCCATGAAATTTTTTTCTTATTTTTAGTTAATGTTTTGTCTTCCATTGCTGTTGTGTTATCTATTATTATGACATGATTTATATTCGTATAAATACCACGAGTACCGTTTGCTTTGCATTAAAACAACTAGTACTTTACTTTATCTTCTATTATTTTTCAAGTATCAGTTGCTTTCTACCATTGGTTATCTTACCATTGGATTGAGTTACTTTGCTAAAACCTGCAGATCCGGAATTGAAAGGACAAAGGACTTGAGTTTATTATACAATACACTAACACTCCTGTTTTAAGATCAGTAGTTTATTTGTGTTTGTATATATCCCATGAAAACTTTTTTTTATTTTTCGTTAATGTTTTGTCTTCCATTTCTATTGTCTTATCTATTATTATGATATAGTTTATATTTGTATAAATACCACGAGTTTGCTTTGCCTTAAGACAAATAGTTCTTTACTTTATCTTCTATTATTTTTCAAGTATCATTTGCTTTCTATCATTGGTCTGTGATATGAATTGTTTACAGGAAACCTCTACGTTGTTGGTTCTTTCAATAGTTACTCAAAATCAGTTGAAAAGTTCGAGCCATCAAGCAACAAATGGGAAAAAGTAAAAGACAAAAATCTCAACAGTTGTTATTCAACAGCACTGGGTGCTAGAGGTTAGAAGGTGTTGTTTAATAAATAAATGGATACTCCCGAAGTATGTGAACCAAGATGGTGGACACCGGAACGTAGTATGTGTACCAGGTTGGGTTAGGCCATAATTTCAAGTACAAATACTTGGATAGCCACCGCATCTCTGATTACCTCTCGTGTGATCGCAGGTTCGAATTCCATGCGGGGATGATCATGTGCGAGAGAATTGCTGGACTCCTCGCCGCCGTAGGGTGGTTCACGTAACCGCTGGTCGGTTATGGCTTCCTCCACCATCAAGCCCATGCTTCCGAAAACAAATAATTAAAACTAATCCCATAACGGTACCCGACATGGACTGGTAACCGGACGAAAAGCCGTGGTTCGCCACATGATTAAGCCGTCTTATTGGTTTTCCTCTCCTCCGGGGTAAATATGTAAATCCTATCCTATGTCCTCGAATAATAGAACTAAAATAGGGGAAATTGGAATAAATTATGGCCTTATCATAACCTGGTACACATACTAAGTTCCGGTGTCCGCCATCGTGGTTCACATACTTCAGGAGCGCCAATAAATGTCATATACATTGAACTGGCTCGAAACAGGCAGTCATACAATAGGATAATAAATGGAATTGTCGCTGGGCCATATAAACAACTCCAGAAATCTAGCTGGATCAATAAATGCTTTGCTTTACAGGAATAAAGGCATCGGACAAAACGGCGAAGTATTTAACGCACCAAAAAGAGCGTAAAAACATGTAATTTTACCCATGTGAGCAACTCTTTAAACATAAACTGTCGGATTAACTCTTTATGCTTGATGGGGAAAAATCCAAGTGTTGACAAGGACCACACGAGATAGTTTTGCGGGCACTAAATAGCTTTGCCTGTTGCAAACCGCTAGTCTAAACCAAACAAGAAAAAATACCGTCTTTAAGTTTCATATCAGTGGTTGCTTTCATAAAGTGTTTTTTTGAAGCAAACTTGCAATACACTTACTCTAAATAAAAAATGACTGCCAACAGATATCGGGTTTATAAGTGTGTCCTAAGTTTTCATCGAATACCAGAATGCAGAAAACGCTTGAAAGTAATAATCCCTGTTTAATTCTAGGTTGTATATACAGCATTGGTGGATTAGCATCAGGTCGTTGCACCAACCAAGTAGAAAGATTTGACCCAACATCATCAACTTGGTCATTTGTTGCATCCATGAATGAAGTAAAGAGATTGATCGCAGCTGTTGAAAATGAAGGAAAAATATATGTTCTAGGTAGGTTTGTTGCTAAAAATGTACGAGGACTCAAGAAAAAAATATATTTAGAGGTGCCCATAATAATATTTAGTTTTACATAAAATAGCAATTAACCAGAATATTTAAATGATCGTGCTTCAAGATATCAAATGCAATGCCATTATGTTTGAGCATCGTCATGAACTACTAATATTCCATTAATGTTATTCTGCAAGATCGCAGAATTATATTGTGATGTGACAAATCATGTTCAAATGTTTGTATACCTATATATTTACACGAATGCAAAGGTCAATCCGATAGCCGTGTAAACTGTAAACTCATATATACTTTTGGTACTGTTGCGTCCTTCTTACTAGAAATATTAACTAGTTAGGGTTGGAATTCGGAGTGATATTCTGACATTCATACCGGGTCCTAAAATCTTCAGTTCAGGCTAGTTGAATTTTCCGCATTATATTTATCACCTTGCAGAAAATTTCAATGATTGTGCTTCAAGGTATCAAATGCAATGCAAACATGTTAAAGCATCGTCATGAACTACTAATATTCCAATAATGTTATTCTGCAAGATCACAGTATTATATTGTTATGTGACAAATCATGTTCAAATGTTTGTATACCTATATATTTACACGAATGCAAAGGTCAATCCGATTGCCGTGTAAACTGCAAACTCATAAATACTTATGGTACTGTTGCGCCCCTTCTAAATAAAACTAGTTAGTGGTTGGAATTCGGAGTGATATTCAGGCATTCTGAACAAGTTCCAAAATCTTCAGTTCAGGCAAGTTAAATTTTCCGCATTATATTTATCACCTTGCAGTTGTTACCTGCCATCATGTTAGTTCACTATTCCATTTTTATTCATTTATTGCTTTGTCTTGTATAGGTGAAATTGTCAGTAGATGGATAAACATTGTTTTGTATCATTTAGGCAAATTGCAAGCAGATATTGAAAAACTGTTTATTTCATCCAGGTGGGAAGGCAAACGATCACTTGACAACAGTTGAACGATATGATATTTCAACGAACGTGTGGTCCACAGTAACACCCATGTTAACTAAACGTAGCTTGTTCAGTGCTTTTGTGATTGATTCAAATATTTTCGCATTTGGAGGAAGAAACAGGTAGAGTTATTCAAATTCATTACAACATAGTAGTGGGCACTAGTCTCTATTTCTGGAGATTTTGTTCCGAAATACCTATTTACAAATAAATATTTGTTCGCCTGTATTCCTCACTACAAGCTTAGGGCCAATCTAGCCAGAGTCTATCTATATTGTCGACGTTTACAGAAATAAACAGAAATCTTTATATTTTTGTGAATTTATTTATAACTTGATGGATGATCGAATTTGGTTTGAGCTTAACTCTTTGTTCAGATAGAAGAAGCAGTATATTCATATTGCTTCCTAGGTATTTTGAATCAGAGTCTCCAACCTGCGGTATCCGGTCATTCATACTCTCATACATAAGAGGTCGAGTTAATATAGAAATTGAATATTTTTTTTCAATGAATAGCCTAGCAACCATTTGTCTTGCAGAACTGAAATAATCTTCTCTGTATCTTTCAGTTCACCAGAAAGCATGGAGAAGTATGATTTCAAGAAGAATCAATGGGTGATGATTGACCTGAAGAACATGAATCTGAAGATAATCGATGCAGTGAAGATTAATTTGAAGTGATTTGATTGTATATAACAGAGAACAGTTCCTTATGTTACCATTAAAGGACATGCTAGTAGTTTATGTTTGCAATCTTACTATAATGAAATTGTATTAGATACTTGACATTTCATAGGTGCTTGCGTTACCACTGAGTGAATTTTGTATACTTCTATAATGAGCCCCTGCATTACTTACTATAATTAATTCATATAGTTGTCTTAAATATAATTCACATATGGCATCGAGATATGCTTAGAACTGATGCAAAAGAATTTTATTTTGCATGGTTTGGTTTTATTCAACACTCTATAATTGTTTGTATCATTTCTGAAAGAATTCTAATCATAACACTGATATGTAGTCAGAAAATTTACGCCCTGGTAAAAATTCTAGTCTTGGTTGATGAACATTTCGGCTGCTTTTCTCAACGGCTAAAAAACAGAGTTTGTAAACCTTACATTAGCCTCGACTCCTCAGCCCTGATTTAGCTTGCTTATCATTTAAAGTTAATTTTTAGCAAATTGGAGTGGGATTCTATATCCTTGTTATGTGAAATTTGTCACCAATATCATAGGTCGTTGGAAGCGAGTGTTATATATAGCCAGTGGTCAGTGAAAATTAAATTATTTATTAATCCCATTCAGTTTTTAATGCCATTCGATATTATCTGGGTATGAAATATTGTCTTGTGCATTCTTCAAGCGGTTTCTTCTTCAATTAAATTCACTTATCATTTCCTAATCAAAATCCGTAAATGAATTGTAATTTATAAATTAGCAGGTGCCTTTTCCGCACAATATAATATATTCAATATAGTTTTACTTTAAACAAACCTTTTTCAGTGCTGTCTGCAAAATACTTATACAATAAATTGCATTCATCTTTGTATAGATGTTGTTGTTATTAAAGTTTATTTCTGCTTCCAATATATTCGATGATGATTAATTTTTTTTTCATCTTTGCTGTATATTTTATCGCATATATGCAATCAATACTTTACTACCATGCATCTAACGCTGAATTCAATTCTTCACTTTTCATCTGATTTGAAAATCCACTGCATGATCCGCCTCTCTGTCTTTTTAATCACATAGTTTTATTTGATTACGTTTTATGCATTCCAAATGTTTACCTTACATTGTGAGAAAACTTTATTATTAAATAAACTAACGAATTAATTAATTTGTCCATTTCTCAAATTCTACGTCAATTTTGAGGATTGCTTTGGTTTTCAGCGAAAATTTGCTTCTTTAGTTTCAAGTGGGAATTTATTGCTGTTGAACCTGGAAAAGACGATTGCACTTTAAAATGTACGTTATTGTGACAAAAAATAAAAACATATTCATGGAGGAGGGGAATTCTAGATCAAAAATTTTACTAATTACATTTCTGAAATTAAAATGAGTTTGTAATATTTTTCAATTTTAAATTATATTATCCCATTTCATGAGATATGTACCGTACATGTGATTTCTAGCCCGATGATTGCATGATCTTTACAAGCTCGCAAATTAAAACAAAATTGTAGCCTAGTTTTTCGAAACTTCACTGAAACTACCAAATAAACTCAATTTTATAAAAACAAGCAATTGTTTATAACCAAGCTTGAAAATCTGTCCCAATGTAAAATGCGACTGTTCATTTTCAACTATTACATCGCTTTAATTCTCTTGGTTCTAGCTAATGAATTCAATAACAAGGAAATCGATCCAGAGAACAAGCTGCCACAATAACGTATTCAATTAAAACATAATATAACAGGAACACGGCCTGTAATAAAATGTTCGATCATTTCCTAATCAAATATCGTAAAATGGCTTCTTATGAGAGTTGCCAATGAAATGAATATAATATATGCGATATATACAAGTAATCGCTGTTAATTTGAAAAACCATGCGACTCCTATTTACATGGAGAAAAAAGTTCACATACGTCCGCCTTTCGGTTTGTTTACGACTGCATTTTAAAACTAATTTCGTTTACGCCCGCTTTTATTGGCCCATGTCTGAGCAAAGTACTGGCCATCATTGAAATCTTATACAATCATGGCGGAACGTTGTGCGCCTGTAAACAGCTATGAGATACCCTGCAATTGAAGTTTTGAAAAACTTCTGTCATAAAAATTTCTTTTTATTGGGCTACGCTAAAATACTTCATGATGCAAAGACGTAACGGCGATATTTTACAAATCAAGTGTGAACTCAAGGGACAAATATCGACGAGAACGGTGAAGAGACCGAACTTTCATTGATACGTTCAGAGTCGTTGACATAAATTAATAAGTCAAAATTTCATCAAAGTATTGTTTGGTTGCCGCATACCTGCCAATAGTGCGCAAACAAAGGTCACCGTCGACCCTATTTGCATAAAAATTGGTCAAAAATGATTTGTGCAGGCCACAACAAGGAAGTATGAACAAAGATGATTACGGTAGTTCCACCGAGAAGAGAAAATATTTTAGGTGCACGCTTTTCTTCCACTAGGATAGGTTGGGATTAACATATTTATCCTGGGGGAGCGGAAAGTCGATAATAGGGCTTAACCGTATGGCGAACCACGCCTCTCCTACGGTTTCCATTCCCTGTCGGGTATGGGATTAGTTTGGTATTGGTTTTCGGAAGTATGGACTTGGTGGTGGAGGAAGCCGTAACCGACCATCGGTTACGTGAATCACCCAACGACGGCGAGGAGTCCAGCAATCCTCTAATGTTCATAAGTTGGTATACATACCCTAGGGTTTATGATATAACACGTTATTTAGATAACTTCAGCTTGTGACATAGAATACATGCGAAACACTCGATGGGTCACTTAGGGTTTATAATAATGGGACCCGGACGAAACTACTTTCAACCACCAAAGCTTCGCTATAAAGACCGCAAGTTTGTCACGTAACTGCTGGTCGGCTAAGGCTTCCTCCACGATCGAGTCCATGCATTTAGAACAAACAGATGGCTATCAAATTTCATAACAGTAATCGTAAGACTGGTAATCGTAATATCACTAATATTATTGAGCCGTTTTAATTAAACGGCTTTCGTCTTCCACGGAAAAAAATGTTTGTTACCGTATGGCTATTATGAGCCAATAACCTCGACTAACCCATGAGCTTTGTCGCACTATAATAAAACTCATACAAATGGTACGAAGCAAACAATATTATATTTTAAGGGAGAATGATAAAATTGCAATAAATATACAGCTGGCAAAAAGCGTATAAAAAATTGTCAAACCAATAGCTTATGAAATTATTTTCATACGCACGAACAATTATTTTCCCGTGTAGGATGAATTTTGAATGCATTAAAAAGTTCTGCTATTTTGTTATTATTATTAATCTATTGT